GCAACCTTCAAATTGCCACAGAAGAATTATTGGGATGTGAGTTGCTTTTCAAGGTGGCTAAGAGTTGTTTACAATTAGAGATTTCTTGACCTTGGCTTCAGTGATAACATTTGCTTCTTTCTTCACTTCCAAGTCACTGTTCCTCGTAGCTTGCTCGGTAGGTCCAGCTATGTTTGACAATGTATTTCTGTGTAAGTCCAATGGAAGCTTGTTTGTTTCTTTTAAAAATTAAAATACTAATAAAAATCCCCCTCATACTGCCCTGCTTTACCTGTTTCAGGGCAAAAGCCTACTGGTGCTGTCTTTATAAAACTTAATTTATCTGTGTTTTATAGGGAGGGGAACAGTAACAAAAGGAGTATAAAAAGAGTATTAACTCCTGTGACTTGTAGGGGTTGTGGCAGCTTCAAACTTTATCTAGACATGCGTTACTAGTGGCCATCAGGATTGAAAGGAACTTTTTGGTAACTTAATTATGCATCATTAGACCATACTGCGATTAGTTCTGTTCACCGAGCAGAGTTAGTATACTCATGTAAAACTCTCCCTGCCCATGACTTTGCATAACCATGTTCATTAGGGCTAAAGCAGGTAGAGGTGTTTTCCCTTTCCTAAGTTTTATGGGGTGAGCAGAGAATGTGAAATAAAGATATAATTGCTAGTAAATTTTCAAAGCAATCCAAATGGGAGTGGGTAAAGTTATATGCAGTGTGCTTAGGGTTAATACAGCTGTGTCAGCTCCGAGCCCACCGCCTGCGCTGTGATGAGGGCTCCCTGCTATTGGCTGCGAGCAGGGGAGGGAGGCAGAGGAAGAAAATCCACCGTTTAATTTAGGCAGTGACGAATGGGTTGCTGTGCAGGATGTTTCACTCCTGGATGTCTGGGGTGATGCAGACGCTAAAAAGGGAAATGCATTTTCTCATCGCATCTTTACAGGCAAGGTGTCATGGATGGCAGCTCACCCTGGCCTACATCTTTTGGTGAGGCTGCTTAAGGTGCTTGGGGGGTGGTGGTCTTAATCACATAGAATATCAGTGCTGTGCTACTTCCACTTGTCTTGTCCCCCCACTTTTCCATGCTTTTGGGCTGGCTGACTCCACATCACAGCCCTTTTGTCTGGGCATTGGCATTTGCTTTTATATCTGGACACATCAAATATGACACCCCTCTGGGCTATTTTATTCCAGAGCTGTAGCTTAAATATGTTAGGATATATCTTCAGATTGAGCAGGCCTAGCCAGACTATGTGAAAGACATAATGTATGTTTAAGCATCTCTTGCAGAGAATTGTGTAAGAAGTTTTTGCTTGGCTAAAAAACGGTGCTGTCAGCTAATGCTGTTACGAGAGAGAGTGAATTCAATTTTTATACACAATGTCTGAGCAAGTGGACATTGCTTGCAGAGGCTGCAGCTGCTGGTGTCACAGGCAGCCCAGGGAGGCTACGTCGTGATTTGGGTATCTATAGGTCCAGTGCTCTCAGATACAATCTTTTTTTCCCTGCTTAGGATGGATTTGGGGAGGAATACATTATTTTCCTGACATTCCTGGATAACCTTCTAATCATCCTGTCCTTATTGAAGTCATACTGTAGTACTTTTATTGAGAAATGGCTGTCATACAGCTGAAGATTCTGGGCATGGACACCATGCGTATGAACATGTGTTACTTCCTATTTCTTATGAGAATCAGTGCCATGGAATGTCTAGTCTTAAGTCTTCCTTCAGCTCAAATGTAATTCCACATAATGGTTTTTGTGATATATTTTTCTTTAGATCGTGAGTGCATATAGGTACTGTATTGCTCACTCCGCATTTTAACTAGTGCTCTGCACTTTCCTCCTCCTCTCTGTTATACTGGCACAGCTGAATGTGTGGCTGTCCAAGGAATGGGAGTAGGGAAGAATCCAGGTTACATGACAAAAAGAAAGCACAAGGAGGCTCAAGATCAAGGGGCGCAGCCTGCTAGGCCCAGGTAGGAAGCCAGAGAGAACCATGGTGGGAACTATTGCACAAAATTTTGGGAAGAGTTTTCAGATTTTTTTAGTACAAGTCTGCTCTGGCATATGGTTGTGGACCACTAGTCTTACCTCAGGCCCTTTTATTTGCAGCATGTGCTGGTTATAAGTTAGGCTGATGCAGACTGTGCTTACTGTGATACTGAGATCCTGCCTGCATATGCTGTGTGCTGATGACATTCAGCCAAAGGCTTTAATGTGCCTCATGCAGGCCTGAGATCATAAATGGCTTTTATTTGTAGAATTTGGATGAACAAACGGTCTTTTCTTAGCCCCACCCAGCCTTATTTGCTTTCTATTTTAGGAGATAATGATAATTGCTAGCTTTTCATGTATATACCCAACTGTGTTGGCAGAGTTAAAATCAGATTTAGTTAAAAGCCATCTCAGCCTAATAAGGCAGTACTGGGCTATTAGTTTACTTTGATTCTAGACATTTAACATATCAGTGATATTAGCAGAATGGAAATAATGATGATAATTTACTCTTGCAAAACACTTCAAGGAACCCAGAAAGAGTAAGTAAATGTCATTGTTACTATAGAATAATGAAAGCATGTTATCAACCCCTTGTTTCACACATGAGCACAAAAGTAAGTGCGACACCACCACCTTTGGCTTACAAGAAGCAATTAAACAAGTAGAGATACTTCACAGATCCCTACTTCCTCCATGTAACTGGTTTTGGCACTGATAAAGATACTGGACTAGATGGACCTTTTGTGTAAGGCAATTTTTCTATTCTGACTGCTTCAGAAATTCAGTTAAAAGCAAGATTAAGCGCTTTAAAAATCTCTTTCTTGATTCCATATCTGAGAAATTTCAGCTTCGTGAAAGCTTCTTGGGTAAAGCTGAAAAAAGCAGGGAAAATACAGCAGATTTTTCGAGGGATTAATGTTACAGGGAATGTATCACAGTTTGGCAGGACCCCAGGTCGGGAATGTGGAAGCTGGCACACTAGGGAGAAGCAATAGTGCTAGGAAGATGAGAAATGGGTGCTGTTTAAAGCTGCAGTTCAGCACCCACTGAGCCTGGAGGAAAGATCCCATTCGTTGTCACAATCGGAAGGCAAATTGCCTGGTTTCAGATCTAGCATAAGAAAATGCAGGCTGGAAGGGACCTCAAGAGATGATGCAGTATCCCCTCAAAACCAAAGGCAAGATCAGCATACCAAAGCCATCCTGACAGATGTTTGCTTGTCCCGTCCTCAGGCCCATGCTGCAAATTCCAGAGCCTCCCTCAGTGACCCGTGCCAACCTTTGCTGTTGGTACAGAGTGGCACGGAGCCTTGAGCTGGCACACAAGAGCAGAGGGATCCATTATGTGCTGTCAGTCCTTGTCACTTCATGATTTCAGTTTGTAACATTTGTCCTCTAGAGCAAAGTCCTGGTCTTGGGACATCGCAGTGTTGCTTTTCAAGTCCAAGTCGTGTCAACAGTCTGTGACTTGCATTTTATCACAAGATACCATGGTGCTTAGTCCCATTTTTAAAGGGATTTGAGAGAAGAAGAACGCTGACAGAAAGACGGGCATGCTGCAAATGGTGACCTGGATAGGAGGAATGCACAGCATGTATTTGGCGCTCTCTTGGCCCATTATCCAGGAAACAAAAGTGAGGCCATTTGGTGTCAAGAGAAGTGTGTCTCCTCTCATTATCAGTTGTGATAATGAACTTGGACTCTCCCTTTTGCAAGGTGTGGTGTTGCCTGGGCTGTGAACCCATGAGGAGGTGAAGGTTTTCAGGCTCTACCTGTTCAGGCAGCTTGAGCAGTGCAGCCAGGACGATCTTTTCCCTGGTGCTTTAACTGCTCAGATTGCTCTGTTCCTGGTGGGCTCAGTTTGTTGGTGTTTGTTGATGTGCAGGCGTGTAGAGAGGATGTTCGTTCACCAAAGGAACACTGAGTTTGGGGATAATAACATGGAAAATCCTTTGTTCCAGGCTGTCTCCCCTGTGGCTTTCATGTGTGCCTCAGCTGATGGGCATTCCCTTTCTGCTTCACTGGTCCAGGCCTTCCCTTCCCTCAGCCCCTCTGTCCCCAGAGGCTGGGCACAGAGGCTGTAGCACAGTCCTTGCAGTTCAGTGCTGTCTGCCACATCAGTCTCTTCAGATCTTACCATGTGCTGAATTGACCCTTACCAGGAAATCTCTTTGAGTGTTTTATGTTTGAATGGAGAGGAATGGGAGCTTGGGGCTGAGCCAAAGATTTCTGATGTGACATAAGACATTGTGGCATCCTCTGGGACAGACAGCATTCAATGCTCCTGGCTTCAGGTTCGCATTTTGCCATCAAAGAGTCCTTTAGAATCGAGATGAAAAGTGAGTGTCGACTACCAAAATACCTGAGTGAGAGTCCCTATGCCGATTAGAGGCCGTGAGAACTACAGTTTCCCACACCTGCAGGTGGAAGACAATGTGCCCTGCCGTGCAGCCTTCACTGCTGTCACCTTTGCCTTGGGCCCTGCCTGAAAAAAGGTCTCTCCCCCGGCTCCCGGCCGGGATGCGCCACCGCCCCTGAGCTGGGTGGACACGTTGGGCTTTGCTGCCACCCAACGGGGAGGTGCAGCGATCCTGGTGGTGCTGACTCAGGCCTCCTTATTTAGCTTCATGTAAGCAGTCAAGATCTTGCTAAGAGCAAAACGAGAAATAACGCTGCTTCAGAAGACAGGAACTTTTTGCAGTGATGGTTTTTGTAGCTCGTTCCTAACAAAATCTGAAGTTTGTACAGAGCTTGCCTAGCAGTCTTTGAATCATAAACAGCATGAAAAACAGAAGAGGTACTTTCCCTCTTCCACTGAGTATGTCTATAATGACGTATATTATATATAATCTCTGTACCTGGGAAGTGTTTGAGGAAAGGAAGATGTACTTTTGCATTGCTAGGTAATTCTCCCCTTTGGTTATCAAGTGTTGCAATGAGTGGGTGGTTAATGAGGGTTAATGGACCAAGTAACTGACAACAAATGCATTTGTTTGTTTATTTTCAGATTGTGCTGGCTGTGGAAGAGACATAAAAAATGGACAAGCATTGCTAGCTCTGGATAAGCAGTGGCACCTGGGGTGCTTTAAGTGCAAGGCCTGCGGGAAGGTCCTAACCGGGGAATATATCAGCAAGTAAGTAACCTCTGCATCTCTTCTGTGCTCTTGGCATGACTTCTTGTTGCCAGTTGAGAAGAGCTTGCAGCAAAGTTCACCTTTCGAAATCCGGTTTTAACCATTTTTCCGTATACACCGAAATCTTTGATCCCAGTGAGAGTTGAGTTGGGAAAGGAAAGTAAACTGAAAAGTGCAACTAGAAGGTGGTGTTTAATGATAGTAGTCTGTATTTAATACCAGTACAGAAAGGGGTATATCTCCATGTCCCCACAAAGGTTTAGGTGAATACCTGCATGCGTTTTCTGTGTTAGCCAGATAAAGCTTTGTACCATTTTCCTTTCCAATATGTGATTTTGAGGAAAAAAAGTAGGGACCTGTCCATTGCTTGTCTTTGCTAGAGAATAGAGAAAACATGATGATGTGATTGACCTGACACTGTTTCTTGTCTCTATATGAGAAACTAATAAAGAAGAGTTTTGCCCAGAAGGAAGTATAGAGAAAGAGAATGGGGAAAAGTGGTGTAATGATAAAATAGAGGGAATGAAGATACAGTCTCTGTTCCCTCCTTCAAGCATATAACAAGGAGGAAAAAATAGGGAAATAATGTATGTTCCACAAGCCTGTCATTAAGGGGTGTATGATATTTAATGAAAGGTAGCATCTGTAATTTCTTAAAAGAAGTTCAGTGCCTGAGAGGTACTAGTAAGCTGACTAGTGTTTCCACTTTTACTGTATGTTCCTTGTTCATATTAAAAAACTACGTAACCTTACACTTAAAAATAACTGCTTATACTCTTAAAGACTACCAAAGATTTTTTTGCTGAAGGGAACAAAAAATATCTGCCTATGTTTAAGACTGTGATCTCCTCTCATCCTCATGGACATAGTTCCACTGATTCCCTAGAACTGCACCACCTGTAGGTGTAGAGTCTCTTATACCTGTAGGTGTAAAGAATGAGAGTTACTTCAGTGGTTTGTACTGGATGCATTTTCTTGATGGGAATTTAAGGAATAATTCTAAGAGGCACTAATAAGCATATGATTTTTTTTTTTTCTTCTACTACAAAATATTTCCCATTTGCCTATCGCTGTGTGTAGGAGTTCCAGACTGAAGACAAGGGAAGAGTGTAAGTCTTTGTAAGTCTACAAACCACCTGTTTAGTAAAAGGTGGTTTGTAATTTGTGGATTTTCTTTTTCAGAGATGGTGCTCCTTACTGTGAAAAGGACTATCAAGTTCTTTTTGGAGTCAAATGTGAAGCATGTCACCAGTTCATTACTGGGAAAGTCCTAGAGGTAGGTGTTTTGTAAACTAGAGTTTAAGAATTGGGCCATGTCTCATTATGTCCTCATGCAACTGCAGAAAATACAAAAATTGTGATAGGAAAGGTTTGGTTGGGTTTTTTTCTGCTGATTTTAGAGCAAAGGTGCTAATTTTCAGAAATATTTTCAGTGTTTTAGCTTTGCAGTCATCGGGAAAAGTATGTGATGGGGAATTAATTGCACTGATTTCTATGGATCCATGGTTTCTATGTTTCTCTTCTAATGGTGATGTGCAAAGTCTATTGCACTGCTTATTCTGTGTCAGATTTGATATATTTATAGAGGTAATTTGAATATGGGAATCACCTTTGACAACTATAAGTTTGCCAAAACTTAGGACGTGAGATTTCTCCTCTTAAATGAGGCCAGGTGATCTGAACAATGCTGAGAAGGTGAGAGGGAGAAGTTTGCTGGAGGTAAATTATCCGTTCAGAAATCAGAAGGCAGAAAACATCTGAACCATCTCTTTTGTTGATTCTTAGTTGGAGTCCTCAGCGCTCTCATTGAAACTGGACAAATCTTTTGAGAGATGTGTATCTTTTGTTGTCAGTACTGATCTCCATCTCCCATGGCTGTGATGAGTCCCCTTTGAGCTGCAGTCCTTGAACTATGTATGGGTCCCTCTGTGTCACCATTGAAATGTTAAAGGGGCAAAATGCAGAGGGCCTTCCTTGTCACACTGTCATTGAGATAGGAGAAGCAAAACTGTTATCTCCTTTCTCTGTGGGGAAACTCTGTTCAATGGAAAGAACCTGAGCTTTGAGCTGGGGTCTGGAGCTGGACTGTATGGCTTGACTCCAGGTTTAGTGATTTTTTTAATAGTCCACTTTTCCTGGGGAAAAAAGCCTTTACATAATAAAGTTTGTGGAAGAAATGGACAACCACAAAGAACTTCAGTTTCAGGTGTATTTTGTGAAGAAGAAACTGGATGTACTGTTATGTTTTACAGTGAATAACAGAAAAACCTGGAAGCGTTACAGACATAAAAGCAGCTGGAATTTGCTAGTTAATGTGTATTACAGGTTCTCTTCTTTGTGTCCCATCTACTACAGATACAAGACCGTGTCAGCCTTCATATGGGAAGTTTCAGGTTTGACATAAAGTGGTAACTGCTTGTAGTTTTAGTTCTGGAGGTTTCTCTGGTTCACTATTCAGAATATTAACCAGGATGGTAGCCACCAAATGAGGGACTCGGAACGTGTGTGGACACCTGCTGCATTTGTCACTGCATCTACTGGAAGGAAGTACCATTTTTTAATTAGCCAGGCTCGTAGTTCGCCTCGTTTGCAATGTGTATCTAATTCCTTTGGAGACCCACATGGATAATTAGTGAGAACAGTCTGAGTTTTCCCTTGAGTAGGAAGGCTGTCTCTCTGGCTTTGATCTAGTGGTCTGCTACCATCTGCTTATCTATTCCAGTCTACTGATGAGTTTTTCAGTTTAGTAGTATATATTGGTGACACCATAGTTGCATTCCAGTGTGGGAAGCACTGCAGGAGACAAGTAATTGGATTTCTGAGATTGGGAAGCATAAAATAATTCCAAAATTATTTAGATGCACGTGACAGGTGCCCTAACATACAAGTAATGCAACCTATTCAGAAGCACGGAGATGAAAATGATAAAAGAGAAGGTTTGGAGAGAATTGGAGTCTGTGGAGAGCTGGGAAGAAATAAGCTATTCCTATTTGGAGCCTTTTGTGTAGTGGATGTGACTATAGCAAGGTTGCACTCATGTTACTCTTCCTAGCATCAGGGAGAAAGAAATCCAGCTTTTTCAGGGGATCATGGGTTGTATCCTTTCAGAACTGAATAAGCTGAGACTAAAGAAAGATTAGTTCAATTGAACTAGGACTTAGCTGTCCATCATAACCTGAACTTTAGCTTAGATTATCAGAGACATTGTGTCCCGGGCAGAACCTTGATGCAGCCATTTTGGCCCCAAGGCTGGTTTCTCACTCCATAGTTCTTACTCTTCTGATGGCTATTTATTATCAGAAGAAGAGACAACATTTTGCTGAAGCAATAAAACATGTCCAACCTCTTCCAAGAATCCACCTCTTCTAAGCGTCAAAATCAGGCAAAAAGATAAAGATTTTTCCATTTGACCTAGCGCCTGCAGAATCAGAATACACTGATGAATTAGAAACAGACCCTTCGAACGATCTTACCAATACATGGGAACGTCAAGCATGCTAAGTTCTGGGTCAGACTAGAAATTTTGCTTGACCATTTGTGGCTCTCATTGATTATCAGAGGCACAGCCCATAATAATACACTAGAGGGCGGCAGTAGTTCTCAATATGTAGCTAAGACCACACTCCTCTAAAACCTGTAGAAGTTGAATTACTCATATAGTGCAACTCTTTCCTGATCTGCTTAAATGACATTTGAAGGCTGCCTGCTATCTGAAGGGTGTAGATTGGACAAGGCCTTAGAAACTTTCCCCCCAAAAAATCAGTACTGTGTAGTCCGGGAGGCCATTCAGACACTGGCTTAACTGCATTGCAGTATGTATTAGCAGTCTGGATAGTCCATGAATAGAGTTCTCCAGGTATGGTCTGGGAATGCAGATGCAGGAGAAACATTCAAGCACTTTCTGTTATTAGGTGGCGCTTGAAAAGGTTGGAAGATAGAGGTGAGCAGTTAACATTCAATAATCAGAGCAATTTATCAAAACGGTGGGCTCGTTTCTTGGCCCATCCTAGAAACCTTTCACACTGTCAGAGATGCACGGTTCCAAAGGCAGTACTAGCGCCTCTAAATTAGACTAAAGGAACTAGTATGTCGAAACTTAGGATGAGAAAATCATGTGTCAGCACATGTGCCCCTTTGGGCAGAAAAGGTAGTCTAAAGGATGGGGTCAGAGCATGACATAAATCCTCTGGTAACAATGGAGATGAGAGATGGGAAGCAGCCACAGGGCTGTGGAAGATAATTCACAGAACAGGATGCCATGGTTCAGGAAGGGCTGCAGACCGATTTGAGGCAGGGCAATTAACAATCTCCTTATCCAGTACAGGAAATCACCCACAACCTTTCAGTACACCTGAAGTTTTCATTTAGATGAAGCTGGAGATCCTCACAGGAGGATTACTGTCTTCCCTCTTTGTTTTCTTTGGCAACGTTTCTTTGGCAAGTTTGGGTATTTTTGCTGGTTTATATCATGTGAGTTGTCTCTTGTCCTGCTGCCTCTCTGGGGAAGGAAACCACATGCTTGGTGTGATGTAACACAGTTATAGGAACTGTCAAGGTAGAGGTTATGCCATCACTGACCAGCCCAAGTTATGCCTACTAATGTCTGGTGGGGAAAAAAAAAACCAAAACACTTTGTATTTTGCCTTTGTTAATACAAATAGTAGTAGTAAATTCACTGATCAATATCTTTCATTTTATTTGTCAATAAAATAATTTGTTATGTCATGAGCAGAGTACATACTATTTCAGCATCTTCATCCAAATAAATTATTAGAAGAGATTGGAGGGAAGTATATAATACATTGTATACAAACACTTCCCTCTAATGGATCAGAAGCGATTTGCAGCATGCCATTGCAGTGCTGCTTTATTTTCTGCTTAGTCTTAATACATCTGGGACAGTCCATAAAAAAAACTGAAAAACTGAAGGGAAATGAAAGCATGAAACTTAGCTTTGGGTTCACAGAGGCTGGTGGTATCTGTTTTTCCAGTAAGAGATTAATTTTTTTCTTTAAAGAGAAACTGAGATTCTTTGCAACATTGCAGACTTGCAGCTCCTGCTCATTTTTGTTCCTCAGTATGACTTAGTGCCTCTGAAAAATCAGGCTTTCAGTCTTCTACAATGAGCAGCCAGCAACAGAGACAGCCACTCCTGGTGTGGACCTAAGAGTCTTCATCTCGGGAGCAGCTATGCTGTGCCCCTGGTAGGCACCCTCAGCAAAGCCTGTCAGAAAGGCCAAGGTTTGAGTTCAAACCTTGAGATTCAAGCCTTGAGAGGATGGACTCCCTCCAGCCCTTCTGTAGAGGTGATCCCTCTGCTCAGTTAAGAAATGTATTACTAGAAAGAGTACTTATTTTGCTAATATTCACATACCATGAAAGAATGCTCTTTTTTCTAGGCCACAGATCTAACAACTTTCAATAGCCATGAAAATATGCAAGAAAAATACCATGTGCATTTAAGTCAGCTCAGATATTTCTCATGTATTATTTGGCACATAACTTTCTGTGACAAATAGTCACAGATGATAGATGAGTGCATGCCAACACATTAAATGTGGTAAGTATCTAATATGAAATAGCTATTGCAACTTCCTTGAGCATACTGGATACTTTAATACCTGAGTATTTCAGGATAATGTTGTCAAGGCAACAGAGATCAGTGTTGTTCCTTGGGTTTCTCCAGCAGAAAGGAATCTTTATTTACAAAAAACTACTCATTTCCCGGTAACTCTGGTGAAAAACATTTTTATCAGGCAATAATGGCATAGTGAGAGTGAGGGCTTTCACATAGACTTTCCACTAAGCTGCTGTTTTCATAGCCTCAGGGCTTGCCTATTGAAAGATGCCCATCTGATCCTAATCCTGCAAATTCCCGTGTAGACACGTGTAACTCCACAAATCTAAGTAAACTTCAGCACATATTTAGCTATTTGAAAGATGCTGGCTTAAGTAATTTTTGTCTAATGTGGTTATCATACACAATACAACTATTCCTCCAAGGCTTAATTCAAAATATGGTAAATCAATGAGAAGCTTTCCATTGACTTCAGAGAATGCGGATCATGCCTATATCCATGTAATTCATCTCTGCTTATCCAAGGTGTTTTACAAAACTTAGTAGTAGTATTCTTTTAGTTCTGCAGAAAGAAGACATCAGGGTAGATAATTTGCATGAAATCATACAGAAAGCCTGAGAATAAGATTCAGGTCTTAAAATTTCCACTTTTTTTGGCTGTTACTGATACGAACAGGATTTGATCTCCTGATCTAGAG